CATAAAATTCAATTTTGAATTAACAGTTCGCCAAATGCCATCACATACTATTGTAACACATTGTTATTTCCATCGTAATAGAAACGTAGAGAAAACACTCAGAACAAACATTTCATTTTGTGTAGTTTCGTTATCTCGATCGTATGCAAATTATGTATAATTGTCTTCATCAGTTGAAATTACACTATGGTTAAACGTGACAGACAGTCGGACAGTAAAAACCATTTTGTTTACTCTAACACGAATGAGCAATTAGAAAAAGAAATAAAAATGAATTAGATCCATCTGCATCTGTAGTCTTCTGTTGTGACATTATCAGTGGGGAACGTCTCCCGCAACCTCATTAATATTTCATAAAACGATCTCCGCGTTTCCGTAGGAATTCTACCAGTGATGTTTAATGTGCCTATTAGTTGTTAGTTGTCAAATCCGAAATCAATTGTGACCTTACTCACCCACTCGGCTGTAAATTTCCGAGGTTTCTCAGCTTTGGTTGTACGTTCTTTATGTGTTGTCATTTCGTTGCAGGTGCTGACAATGTGTAAAGACATATATCTAAAATACTCAAATAACTCACCTGCTGCGGGAATTTGGTAGATGTTTAGTATTTATAAATTATATATACAATTAATATGTATAAATATATTTCATAATTTTGAAGTAGAAAAAGTGTATATTTCAAAAAGAATATTCACCTGAAATATCATATTTAAAGATTTAATAGAAAAACTAACAGTCGTTCAAAATGGAAAATTTCAAAAACTAGATTGTTGTGAATATATAATTTACATTTTTATTGTAATAGTAAATCTATCCAAGGGGCAGTTTTTTCTTTTCCTTTTTAAATTACACATAATTATGCAAACACTGATTAGGAGTGAGATATTTACAATGCCTGACAGATTTAAAATTCATAGTTGACTAAATCTTGAGCAGCATTTTAATGGATTTAACCAAACGTACAGCACTATCCAAATATATATTCCTTACTGAGTAATACTTGTTTCTAATCATCTTTTGTTAAATGTTCAGAATACGACGTCTGTATTTACAAATGTTGAAGTGGTTGATAATCTTTCCAGGGATGACAAAACGTAAAAAGTTGCGAACAACACCAGACAGTGTAAATTGTACAGAAGCTTAAAATGCGTCATCAAAACCGTTTGTTGACGTCAGGTGTCATCGATATAACGTACGACAGGTCAAGCACTTCCCTAACACAAACAGTGGGAGTGAGTGCTGCATAAAATACTAATCATCTGATTTTGTCGAGTCTACTACAAATGAGCAACATGAGAATATGGATCTATTCAATAAGACATGTGATCGAATCGATGATAAACCAAATGGCAAAATTTCTCGAACTGAAATAGATGTTAAAAACAGAAAAAAAACCCAATAATATTGCGACGTCCGCATCTGGAGCATTTCAGGTTAACATATTTACATATGTACTTAATCATGGTATATTTAACAGTGTGAAAAGTTCAAGAAAAATATTTATTTTATTTTAAGAGAGGTCACTATAAATTTGTAAAACTGACCAAACCTTTAGACATCGGATTTGAAAATAAGTTATGTTTAAACATAAAAATTCAAGAAATTCTACTTATTTAAAACATCATCAAAACATCTTTCGAATATTAAGATAATTTGTTAGGTAAAGAGAAAGAAACTAAAAGCTCGTCTAATTGTACAAGGTTTCTGCCATTGTTGTAAAACACGGTGATGATATGGAGAAGGAAGACGAGGTTAGCGTTGATCTTCTACAGAGCAATGTATGTTATCAAATATTGACTGAAATAGTCATCAATGATGAAATATAAGGAGCTTTGAATAAAAAATAATAAACTTGTGGTATAAATAGAATTGTTTATGAACTTGTGGTATAAATAGAATTGTTTATCAACATATTAAATATACATTACAAACAATTACTGATCCTTCCGACATTCCAATATAACAGTAAATATGTTTAAATAAAACTACAAACAAATTCTCAGTGTATTCGAAAGTTTTAAATATTGTACACACGTTTAGTACCGACAGATTAGAAAATTGGAATTATTGATCCTATTTAGAAAAACAAAAGTGATAGATCTTGCTAATACCAGGATAACTACAGGCTATGCGTTAACAAAAGGCTGACTGACATCTGGCTTTAGAAAGGGGTATTCTACTACGGACTTTTTAGGTTACTTATTCTTACCTCATTTTCTTAAAAAAAACTAGATGTTTTATTGTTCAGTACAGGAAAAGGACCCTTTGATACGGTGTGGGGCCCCGGATTATGGCGGAGAAAACACTCTTTTATTTCAAAGTGCTACATTTTCTATATGAACATATAAAATCCTGCTTCTGTACAGGAAATCGGACTTTTTGACAAGCAATGTTGGCTTAAAGCTGGATGAGACTTTGTTTCCATTTTTGCTATCTTATTTCTAAACGATAGAAATCAGTATCTTCAACAAAATAAGGTATATTTGAATATAATCTATATATATATACATATATGTATATGAAATGACGTGTTACTAACAATGCAGGTTACAACTGTGTTGATGTCGGAATCACTTCCACGTTTACAGTGCTCTTCATTGCTTTCAAAATTATTGTGAAATTGGAAAAAATAAGTGTCAGTACTAGAGAATAAAAAAAGTAATGTTTGGGAGACTGTTTACTTACAAGGCAGTTTGATTTAATGATTCAATAACTCACGAGGTCCATATCATCATCTTGGTATACTGTTTAACTATTGAAAATCGCTGCCTCTGTTAAATTTTGTCACTTTTTCACCTCTGTGTCATATGATAAAAGCTATGTTAAATATGAGATTGTACGTCTCAAAGTTTGCATTTTCGCTCTCAATGGCTCGCAAATCAGAAAATTTCTAAGACTCGATTCAGAAAATGAATCAACTGCGTTTGGTGGTTAAGCTATGCTTCGCCGAGGTATTTGCCGTAACATCTACAAATTTCTGTTAACTTGGTACTCTTTATAATTATTTAAAGTTATGTGGTAAGTTGACATCCTTAATTATGTTTCAATATGTGTTTATGCAGACTTTAATTTTTCTAACTGTAGACCCAACATACCAATGACAATTCCAAGAAGAACGAAGCGTAAGCAGCTGTATATGACCCAGTATCATTTATCACTCGATGTATTCTGTGTCATACTGAAAGATGATATACACCCAGCAAGTATCATATTTCGCGCGGTTGACTTCTCAAATGAATAGCCCAATAAATGGCACACCTGTATTGACAAGAGGTGCACGTGCAACTGGTTAGCTGGCAACTCAGGTCAGGTCAATGCGCTGGCGTGGACAGTCGATTTTCCAAGTTTTCTTTCTTTTTTTGACAATGTAGATTGGTATAATAATTATATACAAGAATTGTTTCTGATTTGAGTAATTCTATATTTAGAAACTCTTTACCAGTTTATAACATGTGTTAACTGACCATTAAGTATTACCCTCAGCCTTGTCGTATATGCAATGTGTAATTTGATCATTGAATGAAGATTTAAATGGCATCACTGGTGGGTTTTCAGATGTCAACAGTCAATACTGCCACCTGGAGGTGAGTTGTTGGAGAAATTTTTAAACAATTTCTTTTTATACCCCCGTCATGTCATGGTCAGGGACATATCTTTGACCGTCATTACATCACAATGTACCTTTCCGCTCATTTACTCTCCTTTGTAGGTGTATCATAATTATAAACCGATACAGTTTTGATTTGGTCACTTACTTCTGTCCAGATTTATGTTAGGGTTGTCATTTGACTAAGAATTTTGATAAAAAAATCTCGCAAAAACGGTAAAACCATCATTCAAGAGCATTCTCTAAATGCAATGAGAATGAAATATGAAATAAATTAATAAAAATTACTAAATAAATAAATAAATAAATAATAATAATAAAGATAATAGAAATATGCAGGCAAAACTGGCGGCGGACCAACCCTGTTGAATCGACACAACTCGTTACTAGTTCTGTTTTCATTTTACACGATCTGACAATATTTTACAGGATGAAACATTTTCTTTTTTCGATATTATGAACAGATGTTCTTATATCAGAACCGATTAAAAATTAGTGTGTGATGTTTCGATGACTACACCGTCTCAATGACCAGCCCTACGACCAGTGAAGAGTACGTCCATTGAGGTGTTCTGTGTAAAGTGTACGAAACAATTGTCTCTATTCACTTTTTATTGAAACGTTCGTCACAATAAGATATGAATCAACTGAAATAAATGAAAGATTGAACAAAATTAAAACGTGCATGTTTTCATTTCATATCGAAAATTAACATTAGAATCTTAAACATCAATTATAGGATATTTTGAAAAAGATCGACAATTTAAGCGTTTTAATGAAGAGTATTTTTCACTAGACAATTAATTCATTATTCAAATAAAAAGAAAAGAAAACAAAGAAAACAAAGACTGAAAAAAATCAAGGAAATACAGTACATTGTAGTAGTGACTTTATCGTTCGTCATTACTTCCTGTGTATAACCGGGGGATTGTTGCCAGTCATAGTTCACTTTTACGACATTGTCAGGTCAAGTTACGTAGTTGTGTTGGAGGGCTACGCACAGTCGTCTCGAAACGTGTTAATGAAGATTTCTCGATGGTTCCTTTAAATCAACACTTAAATTTCGCTAGTTGTCTTTTTCACATATTCCTTTCCACTGATTACGAGGAAGGTGATCATTTCTTAATATCAAATATAATATTTGTATACATTACATGTTTAATTCGCCGCATCTTATTTAGACTGAAGAAAGGAATGAATCTGTTCAAGTTCTGAAAATTTCTGTTGTATCAGAAATTATTATTCCGTTTGCGGTATCGGCTCTCCGTGAGCTACATCATTAATATTGCAAGAGCTAATCTCCGGTAGGGTCTTATTGTCTCCGATCGCGTGCGGACATTCCAGAAGTGAACGATAATCGTTGACACTCTCTACTTGCGATTTACCTAGAACGATGACAAGTTACCAGTACCATTTCTCTGCAATAGGTCAGCATCAGCAGCAAGCAGGTGCTAACTATTATCCTACCTCAGGATCAAACACTCGTTCTTCTCAAATCTCACGCCAAACCGCAATGACTGTGAAGGAGAGAAGTAGCAAGAAATCGGGCGGAGGAAAATCGGTATACCGCCATATTCCTCATAGTCAAAAACCACCACAAGTTGTCGAGCGTCGAAATGCACGTGAAAGGAGGCGCGTGCAGGCTGTGAATACAGCATTTTTACGTCTTAGAAAGCATGTTCCTTCACATACGAAACAGAAAAGACTTTCGAAGGTGAAGACTCTCAGGGTAGCAATTGATTACATTAAACAGCTACAAGACATGATCATGGACCATGATCATTCTCCCAGTGGTTTCCAGGGAAAGATTCCCAGTGCAGATACAATTGGTCAGGAAAACGTTATCCCAAAGTTAAGAAATGTTCATGAAAATCATGTGATGGTTCAAAGAAAGCAACAATTCCAATGGGAAATGCCAAAAAACCCGCCGCAGGTGAGTCTTGTTTTCTATATACTATTTTATATTTCAACTTCGATAAAGTGTAAATACTAAATCTGTAGTATATCGCGCCCAATTTGTCGTTCGGCCGTAACACTGGTAGATCGTTCGTCCGTAACACTGGTAGATCGTTCGTCCGTAACACAGGTAGACTCTGCAGTATGCTGACGATACCGTCCTGTTTTCAGAAGACAAACGATCTTAATATATGCTCGATTTTTTGCATTCGTATTCTGTATAATGGAATTTAGATGTAGATTTAGACAAAAACCAAAAGTGTAATATTCAGTAAAAGTAAACGTATTTATTCAAACGGACAATGAAATGAACTTGGGTATTAGAGTTATTTTGTTAAATTGGTTTAGTTTTTAACAACAATAGTAAATATATTATTGCTTTTGCTAAACTGTGAAACTAAATGCCAGTATACGATACATATAATGTTTGTTTACTTAATTATACGTGTAAAGTTAGGTGATTACGTCTTATACGTCAGTTTGCGAAGACGCATCTATTGTCCTTAAATGTGCTTGTGTTAAAAAGGGCAGTTAGTACCTCGCTTTTCTTTACATATCAATTTGAACATTGCTAGGTTAAATATTGACTTCTGTTATTGATTAATGATCATTTCGTTCTAAAATTATGAAAAAAATAAGTTTTTGTCTTCATATACTTAAAGGGTAAATGATGTTTTTATCCAAGAGATGAGAAATAGGTTTAAACCTACTTTTCTCAATGTATGTTATACAGAAGTATAAAGACCTTGTTGGTAAATTTGAACTGTAGTTCTATCTAACAAAGTCTTTGACGTCCAAATTTAAATATGTTTTCCCCAAGTTTAGGATACAAGCAAATAATTCGGGAGAAACTGGTAAATACCAAGGTATACCTAGAAATCAAAGGTTGTGTTTATCATGTAATAGAGGAGACATTGAAGATGAAACTCACTCTACATAGTTATGTCCCGTTTACTCAGAAATAAGTGTATTTTATATCAAGCCGTATTTTACCGGCGCCCCTCTGTGTACAAGTTCACTGAATTATTTGCTGATTAAAATGTAAAGACTTTCAGAAACTTTCGTAAATATATGTACTTAATCCATGGGTCGTCAGAAAAATGTCTGTTCTGGTTGAATAAACAATTAGGTTTATCAGTTTGATGTTTACAATATAGGTATAAGTTTGCGACAGAACTTGGATTATTGTTTACAATATAGGTATCAGTTTGCGGCAGAACTTGGATTTTTGTTTACAATATATGTATCTGTTTGCGGCAGAACTTGGATTTTTTAATAACAGTGTTCTGTAATAGTTATAATTGCCCTACAAGCAACAGTGATTTTGAATATGGTTCTGTAATGTCAGTGACATGTTACATATGGCGAAACAAATAATGATATTTTTTTACTTAAAGGAAATAGTATGCATAAAATTGTATATATTTGTGAGTAAAGAGAGGAGCGACACAATGCTAGCATAACTTTATTTACCAGAACTCCTGCGGTTACACGGTATTAGAAGGAAAGTGATATGCTTTGTTTAAAATCTATTCCATTTAAATTATTTAAAGTGGTACGTGATCAAATAGATATCGTGATTCTAGTTTTACAGTATGTAAATTTTTTTTTTTTAAATAAGGGACCTTTTTCTTGGTATTGTACGCGATAATTCGCAGTTTGATACAAGTCACTGTCTTTAAGTGATCGCGGAATAGTAATTTTGAGAATTGGTTATTTAAAAATGATTGAGTTTTTTGTGTGTTGTTTTTAAGGAACGATAAGAACATCATTTGGGAGAATAAATAAATTAAATAAATAAATAACCAGAAGAATTAAATAGTTTAATTGATCTGGGATTTAAGGCATGTATTGGAAATACTGCACATGCTTTTCGGTCTGAGATTTTTTTCTATATTGATAAACAGTTTTGTAATGAAAATCTATAGTTTCACTTAATTCTACAACTAATTATTACAGACGTAGAAGTTTTTTCCCTCCAGATATCTTTTGTGGAAATGTTTGCTAACATGTTTTTATGACAACTCAAAACTATAAACCAGTAAAACGTAAAATCTTTATCTTGTACTTGTATGTCTCGCCCGTTCATAGTGATACGAAACATTCCACCATTTTGTTCGAGCAGTGAAGTTGTCACGTAGATGTGAAAGGGTATTATTGTCATTCTTGGATTAAATTGTCTTCAGATGGATTATACTGAAATGATTAAAAGAAACAATTTCTACCTCGTAAGAAGCAATGCTCTTTATATTGAAATTAATGTAATTATGAAATTTGTATTAACAATGTTATGAACTCAGAAGTAGTTTTAAGGTAAATACTGACTATCTCATGTATTCACGAAACCATGTGTCAAAATTTGCTCGTTATCAGTATACGATTATTTGTCGGAGACTGCAAGATCAGATATAGTTATCCTGTTTGAAATGTTACATAGGGCAATCTTTCGTCCGTCCGTCCGTCCGCCTCGCCGTCCGTGTGCCGTCCGGATGGAATATTCCAGCAAATATTTTTTTTTTTTTTTACATTGGTGAGGAATGGTTTTAATTAAAACCATTTTATGATCGTTTCAGGTGAATTTTCATTCCGCACACACGAGTGACGATGACGACACAGTTGTTTCCCTCCCTGAATATGGCTCCCTGGGAATGCACGAGATCACAAGTCTCCCGGACACGTGACTTAAACAGCTCACGAGTGAGTCCCGATGTTCATACATGAAATGTTAACCCTTGGACATAGTGTTAACACGATACTATTGATAATGATAATTAGTCGATGACGTTGTTGTACAGATGTCACAGTTCATGTTTCCCACCTAATGTATGTTACGCGCATCTACAAAAATTGTGTTCAACCGGAAGTGCGTATATGAATGTTGTCATGGCTACATAATAACGATATCGCTGTCGAAAATTACCCGATTTTATCAATTTAACACCAAGATGGTAGGAAATTTTAATGCACACACTGTTCTCCTGATACTTTCATTTCTCTGGGTTTACGTAGATAATTTCAAATATTGTATGATTAGTTTTATCTTCAAAATTATTGATTAATTAATTAAGGATATAAGAATAGTTTATGCTTGAGATCAAGAATGTCCATGGGATAATTGATGTGAAATTGCAGTCACGTGGTACTTTGCATCAGCGGAGCACGCGTTACTTCCGCCGTGAAGGTTCATGTATATCTGTATTGAATATCTTGTACGAAAATGGATGAAATTCCACATTTTTTGATGAAAGTGTTTTTTGACTAAATTAGCCTGAAACTAAACCAGTGTAATAAGTTAACTTCGGGCTTACTTTGTGGAGAAACATATATTTTAAGGACTATGTCTACAATCACATGATATTAACATCCATAACTCTATTCCTATTTCAATCCTACTGCTACTTATGTGCAATAGAATATGTTTAAATAAAAAATCCAGGATTCTAATCTAATTACAGGATAGAAGGACACGAAAACGTTGTTGGACACGAATAAGGATTTTTAGGTTGTTTTGATTTTCTTAAATGAATCCAGGGAAATTAAACAAAATGTGAAAATTGTCAATGTCACTGGAATGACGATCAATGGCAATGCGTCTTTGAATAAAGGGAGAGAACCAGACGTCGCGTGTTAAAGAACCATTACGACAGATGCTGGCAATAGTTTAAATCAAGCAACATCTACGATACCTTCAAAAGAACCGCTATCTCCGAACAAATGGGACATTTGTTTAAACGATCGTAAATTCTGGCACGGATATGGCGCTCAATTGTCATTGATTGTCACGTGACCAGCACAGAACGTTTGATTATTTTTTGTTTGTTTCTGATACTAGATAACGGAGGATGAGGACAATTGATAATTCCGTCTATGATTACCCTAGAGGAAATGACAGAGTTTTTGTAAAGTGATTTAGTTTCAGTTGTGTTATCAAGGTATTCCAGTTAAACTTAATTTTGATTTAGTTTCAGTTGTGTTATCAAGGTATTCCAGTTAAACTTAATTTTGATTTAGTTTCAGTTGTGTTATCAAGGTATTCCAGTTAAACTTAATTTTGATTTAGTTTCAGTTGTGTTATCAAGGTATTCCAATTAAACTTAATTTTGATTTAGTTTCAGTTGTGTTACCAAGGTATTCCAGTTAAACTTAATTTTGATTTAGTTTCAGTTGTGTTATCAAGGTATGTTACTATAATGTTAGTTTCTGTTGTGTTATAAAGTTATTTTCATTATTTACCATATTGTGATTTGAGGTAATAGCTTGTGTACAGTACTATCTTAAGGCTGATATTACTATAACGGTTGTTTTGAGTTGTTATTTGTTAATGTGTACAGTACAACATTAAAATAATTTATGATTGAAAAAGATTTCTTTTTTCAAAATGAGTTTTATTCAGATAATAATCCCAAATGGTTCTAGAGGAAAAGAATGGATCATTTTGGGTAACAAAGCAAATCACGAAAACATAATTTCATCACCAATGTTGAGAACGAAAGTTAGAGATATCAAGGGTTTTTGTTAGCTGCGTTCATCGTCTTATGAACAGCCGGGGTCATTTTGAGACAGGTCCTTTTGTAGGATCTGGTAGCTATATCACTGAACAACATACGGGAGACCACATGCTATCTAGAGGATATGAGCAAGAATCGATCATCGGAAACATTGCTATTTGCAATAAAAGAAAATCCAAAAATGAGATAGAAAAGAAATAAGTTGAAAAAAAGTTTCTTTAAACTTCAATATCGACAAATGAAACTATGTATCAGGGAAAACACGGAAAAGAAGCTACAATTGTATACGAAACGTTAAAGTGGTAAAAAATATGTCAATTTAGGTATTTTTAATGTCCTTTGAAAGAAAGACGCAGAAGAAAAACTCCGTACGAACTGATACTGGTTTGTTTTCAATTTCTCCGCAGGAATGAGTCCTATTGCACTGAGACGTTATTGATGAAGTGAACTGTCACTGCATGAATGCTCAGTCCTACGTTTAACATGGAGATTTTGAAATGACAGATATTAATAGTTTATAGAAAAGTTGTGTAGCTATACAAACATTTAACTCTATATACCAAATTATTAATCACTGTCAATCCAATGCCTATGAATTGTGTTTCAATAAAAATGTTTGAAAACTGTTTCGGAATTTTGTAAAACTTTATTATTATCGACTGTCATATCAACACATAAAGAGGCCCTTAACGCATGGCGTGATTGATTACCCAGAAGGCCGCACAGGGCGCTGATTGCCCATCGGATAGAGGAAATGGATATCTGATTGTGATCTCATTGTATCATACATCGAGTAAATCAGATATCAATGGAAGCCTGGCGATAGTTCCTTTTTGGCTGAATTCAGTTTCAGTGCAAAAGATGCTGGTATTGAAAAAACCATGTCTCCGTCTTCCTCATAACGCCACTGTTCATTTTTACGACTTTTTTTAGATCCATCTGAAAGTAATTGAAAATATCGAGTGATTCCCTCTGCTTTTTGCATATTCATTTTCTATTTCAGTTTACTTAACAGATGTTATTCTTCAATCGGATCTTTTGATTATCTTTGACATCTTCAGTACGAAGTAACAAAACACAAGGCTCACTTTTACTCTATCGCCGTTCGGAGTCCCTCCTCTGTTGACTGACCATCCATTGCGTGAGTCGGTCGTCCGTTGCTGAGAGGCCTTGAACAGTCAGCTGTGGACGACTCACGGTGTTAGTGAAATGTTTGCTGTATCTGTTATCCTTCACCGTCCCGGATCTCGTGCTTGTTCCCGGATCCTGAAACTGGAGGCTGAATGACGGCAGGCGAGGACCACGTGCACCCTGAAAATAATCAAGATATACATGTATGGACAACGGAACCTTCTTTCTCTGACTTTCGATAATCCGAACTAGCTATCTGAAGACTAATCCGATACTCAACGAACAAAATTCAGACGCTACTTACCCCTGGTCGAAGTTGCCTGTTTCGGAAATCCCTGGTCGCTACAGCATGCTTATCAATTAGTTTCTCGACTTCCGCCTCGAATTCTACAATGTTGTGGGCAATTTCTGCTGGATTTGGTGCAGCGCGAGCAACAGTCCTGGTTCCTCTTGCGGCATTTGGTCTGGCAAAGATCCGGAAGTTGAATGGAGGAGGGAATAAAGAATCGTCAGTGCTTGAAGAAGAAGACGACCTGCCGTCGTCATCTATCTCTAATTCCGACATTTCGTTTTTTTCCAAAATGTCGTGAATCAGTGTCATTGCCTGGTACTCACCAATCCCTCTTTTAGAAGCCACCATAAGAGATAAGTCAGACAATCTGCTGTTGGTTCTTTGCAATATGGCTTTCTTCATGTCATGACGCGAAGGTGTAGGCGTTCTCTTCCATCCACTTGATGATCTGTCATCTCCACTTTCGTATTCACTTCCATACTCGTCATCTCGTGGCACTTCTCCTTGCAGATCTTGCTTGCTTCGCTTTCCCCCGCGGAAGAAATTTGATAGTCGTGATGAAAGGCAGGAAGAAAATCGACTGCTCTCCATTTTGGTTGATGTGTCACTGCTCGATACATCTTGTGTCAAATCTGGTGTTTCGTCCCGGTAGAATGGGATATCTATTTCACTTTCGACGACTACGCTCTGTGATTCCGAATATTCCTCCATGTTAGTTGGGGGATACATATGTAGACTTATTACGTCATCATTCTCTGTATCTGTCTTAGACAGAGCTAACTGACATTTTTCTATAACATCCCTCGTCGCTGGTGAAATGTAGTACTCCAGATCCCTTTCTGAGTTCATAGAACGAGAACTCTTGCTAAGGACTTCCGAAATTTTCGCGTCATCAGCACGCGACCGCGGGTCCCTGACCTTCGTAAATGTACAACCCATATTTGCGTAGATCTTAGATGAGGTATTAAATAAGCTTTCATCTAAGTCCGTAGCTAGGCTAGAGTTGCGCGATCCCGAAATGCAATCATGATAATCAATGTGACGTCATAATATCCCATTGACAGTGACGTCATACTGTTTCTAAATTTCTGAATACTTGTATATTTTGGTAGCGTTACAAATTCAAAAGGAACGGGTGGGTGTTGTTTGTACATCGGTAGCTGTCACTCAGCACAAGGAGCATCATTATTTTGGTCAGTTGGTAGACCTTTGGATTATCATGCCGCAGACCGGGTTTCGATTCCTATTGTGGCAGTCAGCAACATCATGTTTTTCCCTGTTTCGTTATTTTTTTTTCTTCCAACAGACATGGCTAAGGAAATGTTTCCATTATTGATCTGTGAATAGTTTAGTTGACTGAATAGTTGGACAGGCGGATTAATATTTACAATATTAAGACAATTGAAGGTGAAAACCAAATTAGAGGTGACTACATTTTAGGACAACCAGATTAGTGCTGGCTTCGTATACTTTTAATTTTAACTTTTAATTGTTTTCCCTTTCTCTCGTATAAATCATTTCTATCTTTAAAATTTTTTCCCTTAAAGAGCCAGACCTACTCCGTTATAGATATTTTTCATATTTTAGTGACTGGCTATTACGCGAGATTGGTAGCGATTTACTTTAAAGTTGCGGTATTACAGGGTTAGTCAGAACTTTTGTAACCGAGAAAATAGAAAATCATGAATTTTTTTTTATATAAAATAATTTCGGTCGAGGAGAGGGTCTGGCTCTTTAACAAGTGGAACAT